TTTTCTTTTTTTTGTAATACCTCTGTGTTGCATGTACACCTCCTATCTGCTCGCTGCTGGATGACTCGGGCACCTCGGCTGAAGTCCATCTCTTCCCACCCACACCTTTTTTCCTGCCTCTCCAGCACTTTTCAGACTTTTCCTCTAGCACGACGCACGCTCAACCCCTCATACATATGGAATCAACGTTCTGGCCGCTGCTGCTGTGAAAGCTAACAGGAATTTCAGCAAAGCTTCTTCCGCTGAAATGAGATGCAGGATGAGAAATGGAACATACGGCAGGATAGAAAAATCTGCGTGTGAGGCACTGCAGTGGTCGGTGTGGGAGCTGAAGCTTTGGGAGGGTATTATGGGTGAGCTGCTGGGTTGATTGTGGATCTGTTATGGGAAAAGTAGGAGTTATAGGACTGGGAGAAGGTCACCTCCCCCTCTCAACCATGCTGGGAGTGGAGGAAAGACGGCATAGAGTCTGATTTGGGTTCTTTCAAAGTACATTAAAAGCAAGACAGTTCACTCAGTCATCTTGACAATGGCAATTTCTCTCAGTATTTTCTCTATAGTGGTCCTTGTTTCTGGTTCTATCTGTTCTGCATGCACTCTTTCTATCTTATCCGCTCAACTTGCTTACATCCCTCCTCGCATTCTTCAGTTCAAGGCCACTGGAATTCTCTCAAACCTTTTTTTCTAACTTATTACTAAGGTAACTCACGGCGCTGGAGAGCAGGAAAGAAAGGGAGGTGATGGAATCGTGACTGTGTGTACTTCTGTGTGTTTGTTTTTTGTGCGTTCCTGTGTGAGCGAGAGCATGACTATGCCGGAGTGTGAGGGGGAGAGGGAGCGAGCAAGAAAACGAGTGCACAGCGTGCATGCAGTGGTGCTGATGATCTGTATCGTACATTTGTAAAAAAAAAAAATATATATATATATAGCTTGTTTTATTGTTAGTGAGAGGAAATATAACAAGGGAATTTGATTTGAGGACTGTTGTAAACGTTTCATGATCGCTCATCTTTTCAAACACGTACCATGGCTGTGCAAAGTGCTTCTTTTTATCACAGGGGGCATCCAGGCATATACAATGTAAACCATCTCCAGTCCAAATTACTTCCAATGAAAGATTCAAAAGCCCACTGCGAGCTATATTAGCTCTGACCATATCTGCCCTAACGAAATGTAGAAAAAGAACAACATTCGAGGCGCACAACCTTGATTCATAAGAAACATTAATTGCCACCTAAGTCTATAAGGATTACCAGCATTTCCTAATAAGCAGTAAATTTTTATTTCATTCTATCACCTGAACATCCTTTGTTGCAAACAAGACACATGTGGGTATATCAGACTTAAGACGTTTACAAAATAGCAAAAAAAAGATACAGAAAGAAAATAAAAAGCTTTGCAATTGCTTATTGAAGGAATGAGTGTTAGCTAACATGGTGTCAACGTTTTGCTGGAAAGCAAAGTTGTGTGCCAAATGAGGTAGAAAACAGAAAACAGAATTTCAAATGGAATTTGAATACATGCAAGTAGAATTAAATTAATTTAAATTCAATGAAATTCATATGTCTATATTTTTTTACTGCAAAAGCCAAGTTGATCAAGACTGGGTGGATGGATGGATGCCCAACCATATTAAAAAAAATTTGATTGAAGTAAGGGAATATTTCCTAAAAAAATTCCTTTCACACTTAACGACATGGGAAAAAAAGGAAAATTATTTAAAATTCACCTTATGACCACTTAATTGGAATATTGTGATAAAAGTAACTAACTTCAATCATTAAAAATTGTCAATATATTAAGACATAATGTGGACATGAAAATGTACTTGAAAAAAGAAATGACCCAAGTCAGAGAGATTTCTATCTGAGGCCATCCAAGAGATCACCTATCAAAGGGCGAAACCTCGGGCTCCATTTCACTTGATTGATGGAACCATTTTCCTGTGCAGGGGCGAAATAATGGTGTTAAAAAAGGCATCTGAATCCAACAGCTGTTGAGCAAAGTGATCTCGTATTCTACCGTTTACACAAAACAGCTCCCACACCTCTCAAATGTGGGCCAATTAATCACATCTAAAACACAGCAGGGATTTTTCCTCATGTAGATGGGTAACATTTACAAAGGGATCTCTTGAGAGCAAAAATACAGATACATCAATAATGTCTAGCAGTCTTAGTCAATTGACAAATGAGAAGCACTGTCTGCACAACAAGCAATACCTAATTGCACATGACAAGGGCATATTTCTCATTATTGACAACACCTTTGACTTTGGATTCTTGTATGCATGCATGTTATCACTACAAACTATGTCTGCAGAAAAATTACATATGCTTGAATTATGAGGGCAAATGCACAGGGCCATCTACCTTACAACAGCTTTAATGAGCATAGACGCTGACACCTTGATTACACCCCTGCGGTTCTGAATGGTGATATTCTCTGGAAAGCCGTCTCTAATCAAACAAGCTGATAGACTTTGGATGAGCGCACCAATTCAGAGGCTTTCTAGAACGGCCAGAGCGTCTCTCTGAAAAGAAATTCTCGAGTTTATGGATCAATACAAATGATTGCAAAATCAGTGAGAATGTACGCTATGTGTGATTTCATGCTATGTGTGTGATTTCCTTTTAATTAAAGTCACCTTGAACTCAAAATAAACTAATCTTTTTTGAATATTGTAGTGTTTATTATTAATGATTTATCTGTGCACATAATAATTTTTTTTAATTCATGTGCCCTTGTAATCTTTAATCAAAATCTCCTTGCAAAAAAAACCTCTTCTCTTCTCTGATGATTTACTGGCGCAAGGGAGGGACAACCTGTCACTCAACATGTGACATCACAGCAATAGCAAACCACAACCATCCAATCAATTCCCAATGGACAAAATCAAGTCCTGGCCTATATTTTTTTCTCATTCAAGAAGCCATTTCACTCAGATATACGTCACAATAGGTAAGAAATGTTGATCGCTACTTCCGTTTCATGCCGACTTTAAAGTCAGCATGAAATAAATGCATGTTATAGATCTTAAAAGTGAACAATTCATCTTTACATACCTTTAAATTTTTTTTTTAATGCTTTGCACTCATAGGGCCCTATCTTGCACCCGGCGCCAATGACTTTGTACACTAACGCATGTATCATTCCTATTTTGCACCCGCGCAAAGCAGACTTTTCCCTCCACAGACACACGTCGGTTAACTAAGAAATACACTTGTGCTCCCCGGGGCGGTTCAGCAAAGAGGAGGCGTGTTCCGGCGCAAACTTTCCCTCATGCTATTTTGCTGTTCTATAAAACAATTACGCCACTGACCAGAAAAAACCTAGTCTAAAGTCAGTGGCGCGTTGCGCGTTGTTCATTATGCTATTTTAAGGGTGCATGCTTGGCCATAATCAATGTAGCGTGTGCACAACGCGCATACACTTTGATTCTCTCATCTAAGCAGCAGTTTTCATTTTTGCAAATCATACATTATTACGATAGATAGATAGATAGACAATTTATTATAAAAGCAAACATGTAGCTTACACATTTACCCAAATTATCATAACAGAAGCCTGTTTAACAGAAGTTAATTTGGGTGGGTTTCTCCATCCCCAATGTCACTTCTCTGTGTTTTACGGCCCTGACGAGAACGTTGCTCTCCTCGGCTGTGAACCGCTCCTGGCACGCGCCTGGCAAATCCGCCGTTATAATAGGAATCCGCTTTAGAACAAGCGCGCCTGCCCTTAAAGGGAATGTGAGATGACACTCTGATTGGTTTATTTCACGTTACGCCCAAACCACACCTATGAATAATGAAGCTACTTCAGACCAACCCCTTTTAGATTTGCGCCAGGCGCAAGAGGCATTTATCCCGCCGGGAAAATAGCAACAGCGCCGGGATCCGCCCACAAAGTTACTTGCGCTTTGCGCTTTGACACTTGCGTTTCAGATCGTTAAAATAGGGCCCATAATGTTTAATCAAAATGTGATCTTGATCTTCCGGTGAAAACGACAAAGTCGGCTTAAACCCCGTTTCTGCAATCTCACGTTCATCTGCCTCCATTTTTGAGTGAAATGGCCACATTGACGAAAAAAAAAGATAAAACTGATTTCTTTTCCGATAATCCGTTACACAACAGGGAAGAAAATATCTGTCACTACTTCGGTTTCATTGCAATTTTTGACAAGGCCCTTTATGGGATTCTTTACATATGAAAATGGCACTGATAACTGTTTCCGCTTGGCACATCTCTCTGGTGTTGGATCAGAAATGGTTAAAAGAAAAGGCTAAAAAAAGCTACTGAAACTCTGTTAAATGTATTTCAAAAGTGGCTTGTGACAGTAATCCGGAAAGCGAGGGGGCAGCAGGAAAGGAAGTGTGAAATTAAGATTGAAGAAAGCAATGCAAAAATCCTTCCTGGAGCCCCGTAATCTGACATGTTCAACAACAATAACAAAACAAAAAAAACATTTCCATAATTTCCGCTGGCAAGAAATTGGAAGATTAGGATATTGGAGGATGAATTGCAATATGTAATTCTTCTTCCCTCAGTGTTCGCTTTAAGGGGGAAAGCTTGAAAGCTCGTTTATGCAGTTATGATTTATTCAATAGTGGCCGAGAGCATCTGCCAGGTGTTATGGAAAGACCAGCAATATCAAAAGAGAACATGCACATTCATATTTGTTTGTTTGCGCACCAAAAAGCGTGCCGGCGGGCTAAAAACGGTAGTCACCACTCAAAGTGACGCAGAAACCAGCAGGTGACAAGTACGAAGCATATGGAAATGATTCCGAAATACAAAACAAACAGAACAAAACTTCTCACGCATATCAACTGTTTGACAAGAGACTACAACATACGTACAAGCACACCTTTTGCAACTCTAACGTCTGACAGCATCCTATAATAAAGCCAAGCCACAAATAAAAATACAAGGACACCCAAAAAAAAAAATATATATATATAAAAAAAAAAATCCCACATTGACAGCAGGCAAGGTCCTACCAAGTGTGTGCCACGGTGAACCGCCTCTGTTTGTGGCTGTTGTTGTTGATAAGCATCCGTCGGAGGAGGCGCGGGGAGTTCCGTGGCGACAGCCGGGGCGAAATGGAGGAGGGTGGGCGGCGGTGCCCCCGGGGTCGCTCCTGCTGCAGGAGGTTCTCCCTCAGGATCTTCACCAGGTCCTCGTTCAGCCCGACGTGCTTGGGCATGGGCGGCACTGCCAGCGTGTCCTGGTGGCCCACGGCCGCTTGCTGGGCCATCCTCACGCTTCGCCCTTCCTTCTCCCGCTGCTGAGGGCAAAAACAAAAAAATGTCCACTAATCCGGTGGAAAACTCCCCAGGGCAGGGGAGAGCAAGGGTGAGCGAACGAACTCTGGGCGTCTCTGCGGACCCCGCACGGGCTGCTCGCCGTACAAACGAGTGACTGGAATTAATCTGCGAAAAAGCGGGAGAGCAGAAGATTGCGTGCTCCTGTCAGGACAACTGCCGAGCTGTGATGGTGTGCTTGTGAGAGAGAAGAGGAGCGAGAGAGAGAGAGAGGGGATGGGAGGGAGGGAGGAGAGACGGAGCGAGCTGTCGATCTGCAGCGCTTCACTAACTGCTGACTGCAAGCCACCACTTCGCTAAAGAGCCATTCAAATTATGTGTGTGTGTGTGTGTAGGGCATGGAGCAAGTGGCTACTGCTGCCAAGAACCAACTTTTCTCTTTTTTCCTCTCTCCCTATTTGTCTGTGTAAATCCCACAAATTTATGACAAGGATGTGTGCATTAATGCGTGTGCGTGTCCAAAGGAAATTGTGTGTGTATTTGCTCATCCTTTGATCACTGAGCAGCTGTTCTAAATATGATTTTATTATGTAGACTTTGTGCTGCCAAACATTTCACAAGAAGAAAAGCCTCACGAGGTAAGGATACACAAAGATTAATGAATCCTGACAGGAGCCGGCTATAAATATTGCTTATGATCATCACAGCATGATTATTTTAATAACACTTAGCTGTAGGGAAGAAAAAAAATCTCTGTAATCTTTCAATCATTTCTCCTAGAAAACAATGAAATGGAGAGCAAACTGAGACTTTTGCTGAAAGTGACAGTTAACCCACCAAATTTTTTTTTAAAATCTGCCTTTATTTTGTTCCAAAACTGTATTACTTTTTCTTCTGGGCAATGTCTCAGTAGTCGTTTTCTCCATAGAAATGGAAGTCAAAGGCCTCCAATGTTTATTTGTTCCCAACGTTCTTTAAAATATGATTTTGTTTTCTGCAGAAGTCATACAGGTTTGGTTGAATGAAAGGGGTTTAATGAAAGAATTCTCATTTTTGGGTTTTAATTTTCCCTTTAATTTTCCTCAGATTCTCCAAAGAAAAAGAAAAACAGCAATAGCACACGTTTCTTCCCTAGAGCTTCAGAGATCTCAAAATGTGATCAGATTTTAAGTCTGCAATCAAAAGTCATTGTAAATACTTCTTCCAATACCAAATATACTATCAACATAAATTTAATTTGTTTATAGTTTGATTTCTGTTTTGAGCATTTCTGTAGCTCAAACTGTAGAGCAATGCTAAGGTGATGTTCGATCAACACGTTATCGTCGAAAAAATTACACAGAAGGGGTAGCCTGTGCATTAAAAAGTGACGCCAAGGGGTCCTGACTAAAAGTTCAAGTTGGGAGTGAGAATATGTTGGTTCAATGAATGAACTGATACAATGTATTGTAACTTCCAATGCAATGTAAAGTGTCTGCTAAAAAAAAGTGTCTGCCAAATGCATAAATGAAATGAAAATCTCTCCTTAGGAGAGATCCCAACATCTAAGACAAAATTCATATTCAATCATAACTAGTATCTCCGTGTGTCCTGAGCGAGAAAAGAGCAAGTATTAGCATCTCTGTAAGATCTCTTTACCGTCTGTTGCTTTGTGTTAGTGTGCAAATGCTAGTAATATCCAAAAATGACAATTATTTACAAATCTCCTTTTTGTATGCCTACTTGCATTTTTTCCCAAACACAGAAACTCATTCTCAATAATCCCAACCATAATCATCATCATAATAAATAGACATCAAATGCAACACTGTTTGTGACAATGAGGTCACAGCACTTCTCTGCCTGTGCATTTCACTCACCTGAACTGGTGATACCATCATTAACCCCTATTTAGTTCTAGTCATTTAACAGATGCTGTTACCCAAATCACTTCTAACAGGGAGAATCCTCACTGTAGAAGCATCAGGTTACAGTAAGTGTTTTGCTTAAGGGCACAATGGTAATTCAATGGGTGATTCAGAGGCTTTCATTTTGCAGCCTATAGATCTTTAATCACTACAGGACACCACCTCCTGCCGAGTGCAACAGACTGTCACTGGTTTAAAAAAACAAGCACCACATCACTAATAACTGATAACAAGTCTGCGGGGGACATTAAGATAACCCTCTGGGCTTTTTGAGAAGAGAAGCGTTCAACATGGTTTCATTAGTTCACATCTGTCTCTGTGCACACTGTCAGCTTGCCAGCTGTTATCAGAGAAATATGTATTCACCTTTACTTTACTCAGTTTAAAGAATATTGTTTAAAAGCAAGAGACCGTTTAATAACAAGCAAAAAAATCTTAGACCTATAATATAAGCAACTTAGAAATTGTCCAAGCTACTCTTTTCCATACAATAAAAGTGTTACAAAAATGACAAAAATCACCATAAAATATTATAAAATAGTAGGCCTACATCATTGGTTTGTATTAGGGCTGTAGCTATCGATTATTTTAGTAATCGAGTATTCCATCGATTAATAGAGTAATCGGATAAAAAATTGTGGAAATAAAAATAGATCCAAGTGAACAAAAGCCTTTAAAATGACTTAAAAATACAAATAGGTAACACTTTACAATATAGTTCATTATACCTTAGTTAACATACTAAGAATGAACAATACTTCTACAGCATGTATTAATCTTAGTTAATATTCATTTCAACATTTACTAATACATTATTAAAATCAAAGGTTGTATTTGTTAACATTTAATGTATACTGTGAACTAACATGAACAAAAATTAAATTAACATTAACAAAGATTAATAAATACAGTTACAAATGAATTGTTCATTGTTAGTTCATGTTGGTTAATACTAATGTTAACTAATGAACCTTATTGTTAAGTGTTACCTAAACATAATAACAAGCAATAATTATTTGTTCAAATAAAGTATCAAAGTAATCATATGGGTTTTATTGAACAACGCTGTAAAAATACACCATGTAAATAAATGATAAACTAATATAAACATAACTTATGTACATTATGTAAAAAAAGAAATGTCCGCAGAGAGCGCCAACGGCCTGGTTACACTAAGGCATGATCAAATCCTTGTTTAATATTGGCCAAACAAAATTTAATTCTAATGTCAACTTAATCTTTAATATTCGGTCACTTCTGTACAATAGAGATGCAACAGCTGCTGTAATTTCTTGAACAAGAACATGATTGCGATGAACAACAATTCCCATATATTTCAGAAAGATATTTATGTATTCTCATGGGCGTCAGTTGGGTTTGAAATGTGCAAAAATGTGATGATGTCCGACTCGTTTTATGAAGAAGAAAGCCTCAAGTTTTCAAAAAGCATTAGACATATGACCCACTATCAGAGCCGACCCGAGCCTTTTGGGGGCCCTAAGCAGAATTTGATTTGGGGGCCCCTCCCACTACACAGAGTCACCTGTGCTTGACGATTATTGACACAAATGTCACGCAATAATGATACATTATAAATTAATACAATGATGTTATGTATAAATACAAAATAAATACTTAATAAAAAATAGATAGCCTACTAAAATATTTTTTTTAACTTTTACTTTACTCTTTTACTAACTCTTGAGAAAACTGAGAAATCAAAAACATAATAAGAGCAAGGGTTCAACATGACAATTATTGTTGAAAACTGTAAAAAAAAAATATTATTATTTCTCAACTGTCTCAATACAGTGTAACTGTCCACAAAATCTTCTTTTTTTATTTTTTATTATTATTGTAATAGACTTTGTTAGATTGTACATGACAGAATCCAACAAAGTCTGTTACTATAATACCGGTAATGATGTACTGGCGCTCATTGTATATGTGTGTATGCAATGTATTTTTCCCCTTGGGGCTTGCCGTAGATAGGAATGGGTCAATTGCTGCACAAAACATACCGTAAGTAATCATGCAAACATACTTTTATCTTGCTCTTTTTTTTCTCCTCCTGTGTCATTTTCTTCGTTCTATTTTCGGCACCAGAGGGATACGTCCTTTTTTGTGACATGCCTTAACATTACCGCGAGTCCGCGACTATGCGCAGTTGCCCACGAATTGTCTATGCACGCGCGAGGTGTCTAGAATATGCGCATGACTTAAACGCTGGCAGACACAGCAGCAGTTGTAGGGAGGTATTGATCATGAAATCAGAATTTTTTTTGTCTTTAATTATTCATTCATTCATATTAATTCATTCATTTATGTCACTTGTTTTTATCTAAAAAAAAATATTTTTCGATTTTTCGACTCGATTGGGGGGCCCCCTGGTGGCCAAGGGGCCCGAAGCAGCTGCTTAGTTCGCTTATGCCTCGGGCCGGCCCTGCCCACTATTCTGCTTCATAAGTAGGCTACCATGTTGACAATATGACATGACGTGGTTTAATGTTCCTAAACAATGATTGCCAAATTTCTCTCTCATATTGCTCCTCATAATCACTGAAAACGGTCACAAAAATCGAACCCAAAGTCCAATTATTATGGACGTTATCTGACATTAAGCGTTTCTGCTTCACATTTTCAGCAGGGCAGCGGCCAGCGGAGCGGCTGTGGGTTGACTCCCCACGGTTCTCATGGGCTTTATATATAAGTCCTAACGTGAAAAAGCTTTAATGTACCTAAACAACGATCACCAAATTTCTCTCTCATAATGCTCCTCATAACCACTGAAAACTGTCAAAAAAATGTAACCCAAAGTCCAATTATTATGGACGTTATCTGACATTAAGCCTTTCTGCTTCATTGAGGCTATTGTAGGAAAAAGCTTAATGGTTTAATGTACCTAAACAACGATCAGTGATCACCAAATTTCTGGTTAGATTTTTTGACAGTTTTAAGTGGTTATGATGAGCAATATGAGAGAGAAATTTGGTGATCTTTGTTTAGGTACAACACGTAAAGCTTTTTCACGTTAAGCGTTTTCGAATGTCCCAGGGAAAATAGGCCTGGCCTACCACAGGCTACGTGTTGAAGTTCAGTGGGAAAATGTGCATTTTTGCTAATATTTTGATTTAATTCCCAGTACAATTGACCATATCTACACACAACACAAATTCTGCACTACAAATTTTGCCAAGCTTGAAAAAGCAAAAATATGTGTCGCACAGATGAACGCTATGTGATGACTGCCATCAGTCAATCATGTGTGATTCCCACACGGGGGATTCCAATCAAAGTAACAAGTTCCATTTGGCGTGCCAACCACCC